AGTCGGCGGGGGGCAGCGCGGCGCCGCAGCCTGCGGGCCCCCCTCCGGCCCCGGGCGGCTCCACCTGCTCGACGTGCGCCAGGTTCCCCGAGTCGAAGCGGGAGCTGAAGAGCAGCCCGCCGCAGCGGATCTCCATGGCTGCCGGGCCGCCGCGGCCCGCTCATCGCCCCGGCCCGCCCCGCCGCGCCGCCTGGCAACAGCAACGCGCACGCCCATTGGCCCACCACCCCCTAGCAACCAGCGCGCCTATTGGACGGCGCCTCGGCAACCGGCCGCAGCGCTGCCCCTGACCCGCCCGTGGGACACGCCTCCTATTGGCCCCGCCCCCTCACGACCCCGCCCCCTCCCGGTGGCGCGCGGGGACACGCACGCGTATGTACGGGCACGTACAGGTGTGTGCACAGAGCCGGCACGCGCACACGCGTGTGCACAGGAGCACGCACACACAGCTGTGCACACGTGTGCGCGACACACACGTGTCTATACACTCACACACACAGGTATACGCACACACGTGCAAAAGAACACGCATGTGCACGTGTGTGCACACATCTATACATACATGCACATGTAAACACATGCGTTTATATAACGTGTGTATGTGCAGCCATGTATGTGCACACACCTATAGACACACGTGTACCTATACATGTACACACAAGCATGCACACCTATACATACATGTATGCACACACCTATACACATGTATGCACACACATGCACGTCCATATACACATCTGTGTGCACACACATTATAGACACAGGCACATGTACATGCACGCGTGTGCACACAAACACATGTACATGCACGTGTGCCCACCCTATATAAATACACACACCCAAACACATCCACACAGAGCAGTGCACACACACACACACACGCGTGTCCACACACACACACACATTCCCCCCGCACCCCATACACACACGCTCTCCAGAGACAAAAATGTCAGAGGCGAGTATCGAACCTGCATCTCCCGCATGCCAACCCGGCGCTCTACGGGCTGAGCCACCGCCCTGCTGGGGCTCCCAGCCCCGCCAGAGACCCCCCCACACCCCCCTCGCCCCCGGGGGGGGGAACTGGTGCTTCCCGGAGCCTGGAATTTCAGGAATCGGTGCTTTTTTCCCCCATCAGAGCCCGCCCCGCCAAAGGCGGGGGGTTGCTGGGTAGCCCCCGGCCCCCCGGCATCTCCACAAAGCAGGCGCGCTCGTTAAAAGGAGAGGAAAACAAAAAAAAAAAAAAAAAAAAAAAAAAAATATGGCAGTCTCTTCCACAGAGCTTACAGCAATTAATAACATAATGCAGGTATTTAGCGATTTTGTCATTGCCATAATCCAGGCAAAGTCACAGCTGAGCCCTTATGGTGCTTTGATTTTAAAGCTCAATCCTTGCAAACAAGTTGGCTGAACTAAGGATATGGATGAAGGCAGTGGGAGGCTTTTCCTCTGCAAAGAGCAGAAAACAGTTTGTCTTGATAACATTAATCATAGAAACAGGCCTCTATTTAAGCAATTTCTTTCCAAAATTTTGAAAGGGATTTCATTTCCCCTTGAACTTGACATGAAAGCAGACATTACATTTGGGTTAACAAGCACCAGAAGTAAAACCAATTAAAATTTTACTGTCACCGAAGACAGAACCGACTGGGTATAACAGTCTTCCAGATTTTCATTGATGCGTTGATGAAACACAAATATTTATGAGCTGAACGCTGCCTCCGACATCATTCAGAAAGAGTCATTTTTGTGCTCCTTCCAATGTGCCAGGATTACAAGAGAGGAGCCTGGCGACAGATAAGCTCTTCACCTTAGCTCTCCCTGCAAAGCGAACACCAGCAGCTGTACTTCATCACCGTGTGTTATCTCTTCCTCATCAGTGTTAGGCAAAGGCAAATGAAAATGTGAGACAGGTTAATACCGCTCAATAAAGAAAGAATGAAAAATCTGGAGATAACTTTGAAGTGTTGAATCAAACTACTGCACAGAAGTATGCAAAAGAAAGCCTTATTTATACCACAGCCATGAGGCTGGTGCATTATTAAAAGTAACAGCCTTGAGCTCCTGATAGAGGAAAAGAAGATCTCCTCATTTACAGCCGAGGGACAAGAAGAAGCTGCTTGCCAGCATCTCATGAAGCCTGTGACCCAGCCAAGAACTGAGCCCAGATTTCTCGGGGGCAGTCCAGCACCATGAACACATCCTTCCTATCAAAGGAAGGCTGGAAGAAATGCCCTGGCAGTGCAAATCCATACAAGAAAACTGAACCTACCTAATTAAGAAAATATTCCTCCATGTCTGTGAAATCTTTTACTACAGGTCAAGAGGAATTTGTTTTGTCATCTCGTAACGGTCACACATGCCTCACACTGCTCTGCGCTACCTCAGCAATGCATTGGAAGTCCAAAGGGATGTGGAGAGAAGTCTGGCAATCATGGCACAGTGCCACCAGTTGCTCCATGGCATCCTGCGTAGGGAAAACAGGAATGACCCTCCGGGGTCTGGTCTGCTTAGGTCAATGTTCATTCTTCACATCTCACAGCTGAGAAATGGCCAATGGCAGCTAATACTTAGAAAAAGAGGTAGACACAGGGAGAAGCAGGGCATGCACAGACTGATTCTCTCTTTCCCCACTTCTATCAATGAGTGGGTTAAAGACTTGCTGAGCTGGAAACCATAGTCTATAAATGCCTTCCCTTCCCCTAAGTCTGGCTGCTCCTTTCTGCTTTTCACCTGCATGCCATTATCAGGCAGTAACACCCCAAATTTCATTCCCTCAAAAAAAGAGCTATTCTTTTATTTAGAACTTTACTTTCTAAAAGACTGTTCCCCATTGCCTGCTATTACATATCCAGTTACATCCCATTCATACATCTGAGCTTAGAAACTGAAGTGTTTGTTTTCTGTATCATTTGAAATCCTACAGCATCAGGTACAGCGTATGTAGTTATGGCTGTAACTGGATAGTTTTCACTTTTTTTACATACTCTATCCCACACTTTTTATGTACACTATAAAAAGCTCCTCAGCTTAATTTATGTCAAAGCACACTATCCTAAGACTGATAGTCATCTACTTCAAACTTCTGTTTTCTTCATAACATGTTACTCCCATGAAATAAATGGAACTAAATAATTAGGGGTACTGAAGCACCGTTTTCTTTTTAGGGAGGTAAAGGGCCTTCATCACAGGACATATTAGGAATAGATAAAGGCAGTTTAGGCAGATCCTGCCTTGGGGCACAAGGATGGATGAAATGAGAGACTGAAAAGGGTAAGAAACAGCTGAATCATGTGGAAAACTTATTACTAATCGGATGGACAAAACTGAGGAATTACTTGATTGTCTTTGCATTTCTCTCAACGTGAAGAGACCCTGTAAAGCCAAGTGTGGTCACACCGCTGTGGAAAGAACTGCTCATCCTATTCCCAAATTCACTGTCTGTGTCCCTTACCTGCTCTAATGTAACACTCATAGAATAAGAGCAGTTACAAACCTGTTAGGAAAATGATTCACTCAGTTTCTATTGTTATATGTTCTACAGCATG